ATTTTAAAGAGGCAAAACTGCGCGCAAAAAATCTGATTAGGGTATTAAGAAATAATGAATGGGACTTAAAGTAATGGTACATTTGGCAACGTTATCGTCAGAGGATGATGAAGTTGGGAGTTGACGATTCCGAAAAAAGTCTGCCATCAGTTGCCGATAAAAAGGTATATCTCACCGATTTCGGAAGAGAATTCTAGCCACACGATATCGCACCTTTGCAATTCTGCCATTTGACGGAGCCAACTCACGATCGGCGTCAAGCAAGCGAGGCAACAGTTTATCATTTTCTTTGGTCGCCTGGTGAGGTCTGCACATGTCAACTTCCGCATGGGGACCAGGTTTTGAATGGCAATCATTGGCGCGGTTGTGAGTCGAGATGAAGGCCTTAGAAGGATGGACAATAGTTTTGTTGAGGCCAAAGTATCCCGAAGTGAGAGTATGATTGTCCTCCACATGCGGTGGGAAGAAGCATGATTCATGTGGTGGAGGGGATAATTGCAAGCGAGGAGGCGAAGAAGAGGAATGATGGAGAAGAGAAGGACGCAGAAAAGGGGAAATAGAGGGAAACGTAGCGGGAAGCAGGCAGAGCAAAGGTGGGAGTGAAGGCCGAAAAATCCGATTCTCGCCAAACGAGCAGCTTGCTAAAGATTGGGATGACAAGGTGTTGCCACATTTGGCGGAGATAGGGTAGCCATGGGATCGCATATTCAGATGAGCAGCTATATCCTGTGCTCTCCTGAAGATATGAAAAGGTTGTGGGATAAAAATTCAATAAGCATTTCTGTAAAGAGTCATAATGTATGAGGAAGTTAGAACTAGAGTGCTAAAGTGAATGGAGGCACTGAAATAGTTTGTCATTGAAACAGATTTACATAAGAGTACATCAGCAGGTTAAGAAAGCATACTTCCCACTAAAATAAAATATTCGTCTTAGGAAACTATTTTTAAAAATTATTATGCGATATCCTATTTTGAGATATAAAGTTTAAAGTACTTTAGTGGTCCTGAAATTTGGGGTATTCAGAAGCGAGTAATGTTTAACGCTATCACATTAAAATAAAAATATTTGGTCGTACTACTTGTAAGTAACATGTAATATTGCTATTAAATAGATAGACGTAAATAAATACTTGTCATTAAAGACAAATTGAACATAAAATTTTAATATATGAAGAAAAGTTGGGTTTCGAGGAATCTCTTGTTTCATAATTGTTGGGATTACTTCCA